CCTCGGTGGGAACGTCATCACTCACTGAGAAATTCAGGTAGATCCAGCTGACGAGTCCCAAATAGGACGAAATGCGCGTTATCCTGGATTCCACTGCTAGTCACCATCCACAAATTAAATTCTAATTAAATTCTCAGACATAGTCGAAGCATCTGCACAAGAAGCCGACATATCAACCTGAGACGAGCACTTCGGTCCAATCAATCGACTGGAAAATCTCAAATTCAGTCAAATTTTCACAGGCCTAAAAAACTGAAAATACACTTCACATTCATCTCTTGTTGTGGTTGCTTATAGATGGTTGCATGTTGAACAAAAAAATTAACCAAGTAGGTCAAAGTGACTCAATTCGATTTCCAGCCCAGTTATGATATCATGAATTTGAATAATCTTGCATTATGAAGGACACTTTCATTCACGTGGACAGACTAGCAGCAATAAACATCTTGAATAAGAACAATACTCAGTCAATGGTCTATTCACTATATCCGTATCATTCCGGTGAAAAATCTAAGCAAACTGTGCGTTTCGCATGCATAATTAATTTACTAGTAACTGTTTGTGTTTGCTTGTGACGTTTTTGCTTTGGTTTCTTCACTTAAACCTGGACGAGAACTATTCGTATTTTATCTGATTAATACAATGAAAATACTTCTGTCATAGTTATGAAAACTGCTGGCAGTTTACTACTGATTTTAGAATATATTTTTAACTTCAAAATACTGTTAGTCATATCTGCGATTGTAGTGACGCAGCTGAGAAGAAAGTGAAATTCAAGAGAACCATTAGAAACCATGGAGTACTGAACAACTGCTTTATCTTCGCTTGAAACTCATTGTCAGTAAGCACCCACCGCGTTTCTTATCCAGTACTTTCCGTCTGCAAGTCAAGGTCGTAGACCATCCAGCTACTGGAACCCGACCAGCCCATGAATTCTGACTTCTACCAATTCGTGGTTTTTACAGGACCACTAGCCAATGTCACCAGTGATTATTTGTTCTTACTGCTGATCGAGTGAACCTCACTGGGTCCAAATCCTAAGGAGTGTGTATTGCTGATGGATCTCAAAATAGGAAAAAACACTTGTCAATGGCTCTATAACTGATATCGACTGGTGATCAAACCTGAAGAAATCAAATCCCTGCAAACTAAATCATGTAGAAGTAATTGAATTCCTCCTCTATGATTGCATGAAAACATGCTCATTTTATAACCTGAAGCTTATGGGTTTGATCTTTTCTGAGGTCACTGGTGTGCACTACTGAAAAATCCAGTGGGGAAGAAACAGCCGTTGGTTCTTGATGAATTCTAATTTGAAGTTCAGCTGTCTTTTATTAATGTTCATTCAGAATTATGAATATATACTTAGCGCTTCTATACCCAGTCTTAGCAGGTACTCACTACAACCCACAACTACTGACTGATGGCAGTATTTTCTTTTTTTCTGCTTTGCATTCCAAGTGGAATATAGGAAGGACTCTTAGCTTCAACTTTGGAGTTTCACTAGCAGTGAAATCCTTTTACAGACAGGGAAAAGTTTCTAACTTCAAGTCCAGTCATCCCTCTCGACGTGACTCACTGTCAACAAAGTGAGGTTTAGAAGTGCGTCGGTCGGGAAGTGAACCTTTTGTGGTTGGCAAACCTTCTACCATTGAACCACCAACTCAGTGTTGTTGACTGTAATCATCTTTAACCAATACACTTACTCATGATTTCTCTATAATTAATATTTCGAAGATATAAACAAGAACCATAACACTGAATGATATTAACAACAGGAAAACTAAACATTTGTGTTTAATCTCACTTGAATTGCGTTATCTGGATATCCATGTAATTACGTATGCATACTGGTAATTTCCCATTGATGCTGTATCCAGGTCGTGGTGGGAACACAAATCCATCGCTGGCGGGTGGGGGGGGACGAGTTCATCCATCTCACAAGTCTGAAAAAGGCCAGAACGCGCGTCCACTAACTAAATGGGTGTACATATACTTTACTGATTTCATATTAACACTGTGATTCCAAGCTCTAACAAATATTGGCTACAAGGCGCCTTGTAACCAGAAGGTCCTGGGTTCGACCCCCAGTGGGGTAGGTGCGTACTGATGAAGAGTCCAAAACTAGGACGAAAAAGCTGTCCAGTACTCTCAGGTTTTCCAATGGTTCTCTAACCAATGTCAGCTCATGATGAAATCCTGTAACCAATCAACCAAATCCCTACAAACCAATACTTGAATATCTATCCATTGACCAACTTAGTAACGATGGTTTTCGTTTTTTCAGAGAGTGGATGTTTTCCGTTTGAACAAAATCAGTCAACCATTATTAAAATACAGGTCACAAATCTTTTAAAACTATTTATACTAGTTCTCATCTAATGATATTTAGAACTGATTATACTCATTTCATTTTACGTGAAGGTTTGTCAGTTGTTTGTTGTTCACATTCCATTTACTTTAGATCTTATCAGTGAGACGAACAAATTCAGTGTATTCCACTGATTACGTAACTAAAATTATGATTAATATTGTTAGAAGTGGTTACATTTAGTTACTAGTCCTTTCATAGCATAGTAAAAATAATGAAATTTAGTGAATGGTTTGTCAATCATAATAATTTTCATGTAATCTATGTTTAATAATGCATCAATGACTTATCTGTTTATTATGACGTCATCATCAGTGGTATTGTCTTAAGCATACTTTGTAGCTTTCTTAAATAAAATAAGAACTTGCAAATGTTTATGTTGAAACTTAATTATGTCACTATAACAGAATATGAATATGAAAAATTCATTCAAATGGAAACACTATGTGATCCGATTAAAAACGTATAATACATGTCTGAATATTTTAAAGTTAGAGTTTAATATGTCACAGATTTATGATCTTAAAATAATTATAATCACAACGATAGTAATAATAATCATCATATCTAAGTATTGGTCCACAAGGTTCTGACTGGCTTCAAGTTAGATTCGATATCATTCAGAAAACTATCCGAAACAATTGTTTCATCTTAGGTCAGAACTATTCACGATTTGGTAGAAGTTCGAACTCATGAAATATTGAATTACATCCTAGCGGCCGAATGACCAACGAACATGCCTCCTATCTTGAAGGTTTATAGTTCATTCTCCTATTGGGTCATGGTGGATCACTTCTGAAGAGACCTGACTAGGATGTAACAGCTATCCAGTACTCCCTGATTTTCAATGATTCCCTAATTGATGTCACTTTATAGTCTAACTTAAAATAACCATTTCGTTGAATATCACGGTTGGTGTTTTACTGAATCGCGAAAATCAGTGCAGGTAGGCATATCAACTCCTTAAATAGATGATTCGGGAGCTCAACTGAAGAGCCCCAATCAGGACGAAATGAATACTATGGATTCCATTGCTAGATGACGTCAGCCAAGTTATTAATCTATATGTCCTTATTTTCACGTACCAATATTACCGTTGACATTTTTTATCAAATTCTGTTTGTTATATTTTTGAAATTGATTTTAATGCTCTATGATATGAAAGAACTACTATTATATGCTTTGAGGCAATCGACGAGAAGCCGTCTACACTCTTTGCTTTTTGATACTCGTCTAAAATAGATACCTTAAACTTCCAGGAAGCTGACACTCCCTTAGGGATTTAAACTTGCGTCAATCAATGTTACAGTTACGAGCGTGCGAGCCTGCTATCAACGTCCTGTAGAATAGAATTCAGTCATCTAAATAGTAGATAATTGACGTTGATTATATATCACAGTGAGCAGCTGATAAAATCAGAGGACTGCTGGACACTCAATGCAAAAGCGTATACTTGATATATACTGTAACACTATATTATCAATACTGAGCTGATATAACACCTAAACCATTAGTTCTCTGTTGCTGATGCGTAGATTTACGATTTAATCGCAAGTGTAATACTTCCAATCAGTGTGACTTACTTAGTATTGCATCCCTTTATTCCTCAGAAGCAGCCTGGGCTGATAGAGTGTGTTGGTGACAACGTATGTTATTTGCATCAAAGATATGAATTACAGCTTAGTCAGCTGTTGAATGAAAACATTTGGAGGTTTAAATTCCTATAATTCACGTGTGAACAGATAAGAGAAAGAAAATCATTCAGTGCTATTTGGATTTAAGCTATTTCGTATTAGGTGATAATTTAAACCTTTGAAAACCAGGGAGTACTGGACATCTGTTTCATCCTAGTTCAGGAATCATCGGCAGTACGCACCTATTGGGTTTCGAACCCAGGACTTATTTCATCATCTCGGTATTTTCATGCCGAGCCAATGATAACAGTTCTGCCTTATTATTTTGCAAAAGCAGAGTGAATCAATTGACGGAATACAACTTGTCTCATCAATCTTATCTTGTCAGAGAAATGAGAAAAGTTTTAACATTCACCGACACAAGCAAATGCGTACAGATGTTTATGACTTGCAATGTATTCAGGTGTATATTCATGTTGTACATTGGATATAATTCGATGACTTTATTTACAGGCACGCCATAGTTACAAATTAGAATTTCAGCATATCAAATAGACGTTGTTATTAGTATCTACTCGAATTTCAGAACATGTGAAAGACAATTCGAGTGTGTTTGTATGCGTGTAAAAAGATCTTTTTAATCTGTTTGTAAGCGAGCATGTGTCCGTGGGAACGTGTCTGATTGTGTTTGAAGGAACATGTGTGTATGTGTGTATTGCAGTGAATATTTACAGAACACGTAAAGTCATTCTTTAAGTTTTAATAATGATAATAATCATAATATAATCATTGGTACATAGTGCTTTTGCTGATGACAAAGATAATGATGATGATGGTTACCAAACAACCTTGGTGATTATCATCAATTACTAATGCCATAATTCCATCAAAATGATATTGGTAAATGCCGTAAGCATTAAAAAGAAAGATCAAAGGATATATCCAGACAACTTGAACTGTATTATCTGGTGTTATGTTACATAATTGTGTACTTGATGCAGACAAGACAAGTGAGTTATAGTAACAACGATGATAATAATGATGATGGTGGTGGTGGTTTTAGAAATACAAAACCAGTGAATAAGAAAAATTTGACGGCTGTAAAGAAGACAAATCAAAGTGTAACTGAGGCTATACGCATAAAAATAGTTACCAGGTTATGTGAATATTGTGTTACAGGGAACGTGTCTAGGTTATAATTTCAGATATTATAGATAATCACTGAGTCATCTTAACTGTGAGTGAATAGGACTACAAATTACGTGAAATTTCTTGAGAAGAACTTGACTGATAGAAACGGTTCTGCATGATACTGCTTACTCGCTGGTAATTAATCAATACATCTGCTACAGTCCTACAAGGGATCAATCGTGAGTCTGAATAGCTCAGTGATAATGTTTTGCACAACAGCACTGGGTGTGACCCAAGTTTGAATGTAACAAGGGACATTTACTTCTATCTTTAAGGTAGTTCTTCTTTCTGATGGGTACCACTATGCATGAAACCTTGAGCTTTCTGCCAATTGCTTCCTATCACCTAATATTATTCAATTTGCCATCAATACTGTAAGAGTTCTTCTTATTGAATAAAAACATGAAAGGCAAGTGACTGCAAAAGACGTTCTAGTAACTACACAATATATTCCAATGATTAGTTAAACTTAACAAGCGCTTTTTGTTCAGTTATATGGGTAACTGTGAGTTTATCATAGGTGGCTACTGCTGACTACTAGAGCTACTGGTGCAGTGGTTAAAGTCAGAGTGGTCTTCACATTATTAAGAGTAACATCAGTAAGGCCAACATAAGAGTGCTGTGTAGTGAAGCAGGAAAACAAAGACATTGGTTAAGAAAAAAACTCTCAACAGTAGTAAACAACGATATAATTCAATCAACTAAAGCACACTATGGAACAGTACCGAATACATGATATCAGATTTTTTTTAATCATTGCTTAAGCATAATATGACATTTTATGTTAGCTCCTTGCAGACAGGCTTGTAGACCTAAGAGACTGTTTTAGAAGGAGGACACTTTCTCATCAACGTACGGTTGTTGATAGGGGATATTTTTATTGGGGTTGTAGAATGTCGAATGACATGCCAATGTCATTAAAGAGAATCTATGGTATATATGGTTCTATTTTCCCTTCTACATGTGTTATATCCAAATGAGGAATTCGTTTCGATTTTGGCTGGTCTAAACAAGGGAGTGCTCTTTGAAGTGAATACAACCGAGTATACCACATGCGCGCTGGATCCTAAAGGAGCTAAGTATTTTGATTCGACTAGCAAACACTACTGTTTGGTTTGAGAACTTTCATTTTGGCTATTTGTTTCCTTTCTTGATTTACATTTGTGATATCATGAAGATCGCATTTAATGATCGGAATAGTTTGAGTTCCTGAAGTGGGTTTTAACCTAGATATCCAAATTAGAAAATAGCGAATTCGACAGTCAGTTTTATCTGTTTCAAATTTTAGGATTTCATCATGAGCTGATGTCGATTAAAGAAACATCAGAAAACTACCAGGGAGTACTGGACAACTGTTTCGTCCCAATTTCGGACTCTTCATTAGTACGCATCCAGCCCAGTAGGGTTCGAATCCAGGACCTCCCAGCTACAAGACGAGCTCATAGACTGTTAAGCTACAGGGACTTGACCTAATGGCCAGCCCATGAATCCCAACTTCTGTCAATTCACGATATAGCGCAGTCATTTGACAGTGTCAGCAGAAGTAAGTGTTTGTCCTCACACCCGACCTGCTGTATCTGTCCTTGTGTTAGGATCCATCTGAGAATAAGAAATTCGAGTTTTTCAGTGGGATAGATAAAGTCATAATGTCATTAACACTGGATGTGATCAAACACCACATCCAGCGTTTCTGTTCCTTATCTAGTCATGATTATCTTCCCAGTTGACTTATATTTTGCAAGCTTCAGACTTCATCGGTATTTCACTATTTATCCTGCGGGATCTAGTTCATTGTATGTGCACCAGATTAGAAAAATTATATCAGAATTCTATTAGTATGTTAAGTGATAGAAGGATAAAGTGCTATTATTATTATTGTTACTGTGGTGGTGTGATACGCACAATGTGTTCCAACGTAATATCGTTCTCACATTTTCCCACAGTTCAATACGGCATTAGCAACATAATACTATGTATATATTTGAACACTCTATTTCATTTCGTTTGATATAAACAAGCTCAGTGATTGGTTAAAAGTGTAAACTGTAGATGTATAAATAGTGGTTTGATCAATGGAAAATATACCGTGGCTTCCGTGTCTTCCCTTATGTTTTCATACTACTACTGCTGCTACCATGATTAATATAATTGCTAAATTAATAGAGATTGTAATGATTCAAGGGTAGATTTCGTCACTAACCAACATCACTTCTAGAGATCGCTGAAAACCAGGGAGCACTGGACAGCTGTTTCTTCCTATTCTGGAACCCTTCGGTAATACGCACTCATGAGATGACACAGTTAGAATTCAGGGGCGATGGATCCCAGCCCAGGTGGCTGAATGGTCAACGACCTTGGTTTCGATGGGGAAAAGTCAGCACCTTGCCGTGATTACTATTTCCACTTTATCTTTAGTCGCCAGTTATTCAATGGACTCTCAGATTTCATGAATCATGTGTATTTAGTCTCAAATTAATTCGATGTTTTCCTTACTTTATTGAGGGAAACTAACACTCAGTCATTATTTTCAAACCAGCTGGAATGGTCTAATTCCACCAATGTCTAGCTGAGTTAACTCACTTTCTCCTACCAAAATTATTCAGTTAGGTGTGTGTGTGTGAATAATGTGGTCTTTTTCTGTTCACGGCAATTTTCAGATATCCTTTTAATTTTGCATACCTATAATTTATGGTTTTATTTTTTGCGTTTACTACTTATTTGAACTTACGGTAGCTTGAACAGAATAAAAATTCATAAATTAGTATATCAAAACTTCAAGTCAGCTATTTTGAAAATGAAGAGAAGAATCCACTCCAGATTTTTCTGCTAACAACTACTTAAAATATACAAGCATAATTTAATTTAAACATATCTAAGCGTCTAAAGAAAGTGGAGTGTAGACAAGGGAGAAAACTGCTAATTCTAAATATCCTGAAGTTATGTCTTCATAAGCTAATTAAAATCTGCATTCCTCATTGTTAACTAGTATCGTTTATCCATATTTACCGGCGATGAATATTTATGTCAAGGTAGATTTGATCACAAGCCAACATCACTTAGAGAACTCTGTAAGACTGTCGATTAGTAAGCGATTACACCATTCTATTTTGAATCTGTTCATTGGGATGCATGTAACAGCTTACCAGAAAACGAACTCAAAACCTTTAAAATACAAAGGAAGTATGCTACTGTACAACCAATGAATTAGAATCGGACAGAACTAGAACTTTGACTTCTTTTTTGAACCTGTGATTTAGCATTACAGCCATTTTTGATTGCACACTAGTCAGTAACTAGTATAATATGTCTAGTCCTCTCTTTGGTGCAAACTGAATTCTATCAGTCAGGTTTGCAATATGGACACCATTCTAGGTGGCTCACCATCCCGGTGCATATTGATTTGATGATATTAGATGGTTGGAGGCAGTCGGCCACAGGAAGCCTTGGACCTAGGTTTCGTGGTAGTTGCCACTCACCAGTCAGCAAGGCGTATCTGAAGCCTTGAAGGAACTCATGTCTCTGACTGATGGTAGCACTGGGTGGCACGGGTTCGAATCTCAGAAGGGACATGAGTTCCTTCAGGGTTGCAGATACGCTTTGTTGACTGGTGAATGCCAAACAGCACGAAACCTAGGTCCAAGGCTTCCTGTGGCCGACTGCCTCCAACCATCTAATATTACAGCCATTCTTTATAACTACTTGTAAGGGAAAAATCGTTGGGAAAACCTCTTCTGAACGATCTAATTACAATTTTTTTCCTTCACGTTCCCCAGTGGAACATAGGGCTTCAAGCTAGTGGTTTGAAGTTTCTTTAGCAGTGTTTATTTTGCAGGATGGGGTTGCTACATAACTTTTCCTCTTTACCAGAATTATTTCTGGCTTAGCGTGGTAAAGGAATTGAACCCCGGACCATGTTGATATGTATCCATATAAATATATATATATATATAAAATATATATATAAATATATATATATATATATATATATATATGGATACATATCACATGTGCATGGTCGACGAGCGTCCTAACTGCTATGCCACCTATTTGGGTGTTTCAAATAACTTTGTAAATATGATCCCTTTTCTCCTGGACTGTATACCATTATTTTGACATTTGCATGTCGCATATTGATTTGATCCGTATTATTTGTCTTTCTCCCTGTTTAATCTCTAATTTTATGGCTTCTTTTTGTGTTTATTTGTACACTGATAATGTGTTGTGGGATGTGATTTCGTTTGAGTGAATCGAGGTCACTTGGATCTTGGACTGTCTGTGGGAAGCATTGGTGTGAGATATTTATGAACAGAGTTTTTGATCCTATCTTTTTGGGAATATTCTACTTGATTATTAGTTTTCGTTTTTCGCTTAGAAACCTACATTGTTTGTATAGCTTCCTAACGTCACAAACAATCGTCTTTTTCATGTGGCTGTGCATTTCTTGAGAAAGTTTTCGACTGCGATACACCAGGACACAAGTACCGGTTCTCTGCCTATAGACCACAGTGAGTTGGTTTTAGTGGTTACACAACCCTATTGGTGGGTTTATGCATGTTCACAGCTGAAAAGTTCCAAGCTAAATTGAAACAGCCGTCTGATGTTTTCCAAGTTTTATCGTTTTCTAACATTTCAGTTCATGACGAAATGTAAGTTGAAACCAACCAAATACCCAGTAAAATATAACCTTGGAGTAAAATGTTCTAAAATAAAAATATTTTAGAAGTATATTCACTACCCATATCCATAAAATGAATGAATCATAATTAAAATATGCTTTTCTTAATGTATCTGCATAACTTAGTAACAAACAGTTCACTGTATGATATTATACAACTTTTATTAGTGTTGTCAAGCTTTAGATTACGTGACATTCTTCTTATCACTCAGGGACACAAACTTTTTGTAAGAATAAACCTAATTTATCTTGTTACACTTCACTGATCACGGGCTGTGTGGCAAAGACATTTAATAGGTCATGTAATTAATCAAGTCGTGTTAATTTTGATCC